GATCTGAGGTGCCTTTATTGAGTAATTGGATTTTGGATTCAGGGATGGCCAAAACCCAATCAGTAGTTGCTAATGCCCGGTCCAACTTTCTTCTAATGCATCTTCTGCTCAATTGGTTATTAGACCAAGAGAACCACCCTCTGACTGCACCAAGATCAGCAAGAGCACAATCCGACATTACTTGAGCAAAATTGCCTGAATCTGGTGGTAAAGAACTGCTACCCCCCACTTTTTCTTAAGAATCCAATGGAGTATTAAAATCTCCTAATGCCAGCCAGGGAAGAATAATAGTTGCTCTTAAAGCCCTCATATGGTCCCAAAGCATGGCCCTTTGGGACACCTAATTAGAGGTAACCCCTTCTTGTCAACAGTAGCTATTAGAGTTAATTCTTTTGTATCACCTAAAACTGATAAAGAATGCCCCTTCTTGTCACTAGTAGCTGCCAAAGAGGCTTTTAATTGCGATCTAGTTCGAGGTTGAGGAGGCTTCTCCTTATTCGCATGATCCTGCATTCGCTTACTAGAACCTTCCAGCTTATCAAATTCCTTTTCCAGAGATTTGCCATGACTTACTTCGACTTGCTGCTTGGGATTGTGACCACCAACAATATTCCCCATGCCATCCTCTAGCGTGTCCCCCTGTGGCTCAGTCACGCCCTTGCCATTACCATAGGTTTTCGGAGCCTTCATAAGCAAGGTATCCAAATTGCCCTCAACATCATACTCCTCCTCATCTTTCCCTATGTCAGCAGTGACGTTAACCTGCTTGAGACTGTGCTCACATTCCTTCTGATCATGGCCATGGACTACGGAATGCATGACTGTAGGTGTAACAACTGCTTTATCAGTCACCATAGTCGTAATGATATCAACATGTGTGGTCATAGAATGGGCAACATTGTTTACATCAGCCTGGTTGTCCATAGTCAACAACGAAGCTTTACGGTTCAGAACTGCATTTTGTGGCAAGAGCGAGGATTTGCCATCCTCAACTGGTGATGAAACACTCCCAGTCACTAGCAGCAGATCCTCAACTTCACCAGACACCAATATTATCGACGTTCGTCATAACTGTAACTTCATACTCCTGTTGCACATCAGAATCGCCCATAGGAATACGAGTGCCGACTGTATTTTGCTCAAAAGAGCTAATTGCCTTCTCAATAAGAGAGACATCGTTATCCTCTTGGACATTGGCTAGAATTTCAAAAGCATTAGAAATGATATCCTTAGGGTCCACTTTGTTATTAGCGTGAGAACCAACAGTGTGGTCGATAATCAGCACATTATTCTCCTCTGGCACATTGGGAAGGGTTAGAAAACCATTAGTGCTTTCCTTCACCCTCTTTTTATATACTAACTGCTATCTCTCTTTGAATATATTCCAACCCTCGTCCCCTGAGGGTAACTTAACAGAAGTACCACCATTAGGAACAATTGTTTGCACAAACCTTGATGGGTGCCTTTGCACTTAAATCTGCTCGACATAATTCAGGCTTATGGCCCAACCTCCGACATTTAGAAAAGATCGTGGGTATCAACTCATAGACTATCTCTTGCCTATAATCCTTTCCATACATGTCTAACCAAACTTTAGTCGAGCGTATCGTATCTAGATCCAATGCAACACACACCCTTGGCTCAGCCCTTGATCTTAATTTTGTCGGGTTGTCCATGAAGATGGGCTTTCCAACATTGGAGGCACTACAAAACAGAATTTCTGTTTCGCAATACATCATTGGCAACCTTGGCAATTTGATCCAAACTGGCATAGTTTGGCGAGTATGCCTAGAGCGTTGAACTGATGGATTCCATTCTTGAAGCACCAAACATTTTTTGTTGATAAACCATGGCCGCCCCTCCCCCCCTCCCCGTACGGGCAACCTCTATCTCCTTCCTAGAACGGAATCGAAAAATCAAGAAGCCCCCATCAGCGGAGAATACTTCAACATCACGCTCAAGCCTCCACATTTTCTTCAACATCTCTTTCATATAATTCCAATCGGGTCGGCGGCCCAAGAAGTACCCCAATAAGCAGTTTTCCCACCTACTCTGACATGAGTCCATCAACTTCTTTTCAATTTTGACCAATATATTAATAATTTCAGTGGGTAAAGTATCCACCTCCTCAAAGTAAAACCCTCCATTTTGAACACCCTTGGCACCAAATAACAGGTTTGAGGACCTACCTGAGTCCCAACAACTGTTAGCTAAGCTTCCATTTTTGTTCTTTGAAACCAAGGATGGAAACTCCTCCCACGACACCTTCACCATGAGAACCCAAAGTAGATCCTAGGTCGTTCTTACTACCAAATGTTTTTTTTTCCAAGGAGTAGCATCCACCTCCTTGCCTTTTCCAGAACCAGCAATAGGTTGACTTCCTATGTTGCCATCTATGGTATGCTTCGAACCAACCACCAAGGGTAGAAAGGCCTCCCTTACAGGACTCCTGATGACCCCATACGAAGAGTTTCAAGGCCAGAATCTTGAACAATCATTGTCTCTCAGTTCATGATACTTTGAGGAGTACCATCAAGACCAGAATTAATGGATCTAGGAATATCCCCGCAGAGAGAAAAAGCTGGCTGATCAGCATGCTCACCCACAGCCGTAGGCGCATGCAACCCATAACCATCACGATAAACATAACTGAGACTTTGACCATACTCAGCATCATTGGCAACCCCACCAGAGTCAATAACATGATTAATATCATTGCAAGGGGCAGAACTTCGAACACCCAAAACTTTCCCAATATGGGCTGCTTCACGACTATCTTCTGTGGAACTGGAAACACAACCCAAAAGATTGTGACCCATAACTTTAGCTTGCACATTACCATGGCTGGCAAGTAAGCCATCCTTTTTTGATAAAAATTTAGGAGCAGGAAACACATCGAAGCAAGAAATAGAATGCACAGAAGAAGCATTCTGTAAATCAATGCAAAAAGAGATATTGTCCTTCACAGGCATCAGAGAATAACCAGAATCACAGCCATAGGCAGATAACACACGGAAGGCAGCACCATTATCCTCTTTCATATTATTATCCTTCGCATGCATCTCCGCAAAACCAGACCCAGATACCACACGATAGGCAGCACCAGAATCTACCTTTGAAACTAGATCACCAGAAACACCCTTAATACTAGTTCCATCTCGAGGTGCAGGGTCAAGGATCATAGCCTCTTCGTCCTTTCTGCAATCTCCATATCTCATGAAACGAGATCCAATATCATCCGTGTGCAAAAGAGTATGATCAGATCTGTTAGATCGAGGTTTATCTCCACCATGAATATTGTGACCAGAAATCAATGGATCATAACCATATCCATCCCCATCAAGATGATCACCCACCTTTAAAAGAGGATCTTATCTTATCAATATTATTCAAATGTAAAATAGCATGAGCAGCTCTTTTAGACCCAGATCCATCTTTGCCAATAATGATGTCAATATCAACCACATGCAAAAGAGCATGATCAGATTCAAGATGATCACCATTAATAAAAGAGGATCTTCGATTATCCCTATTATCCACATGTAAAAGAGCAGATCTTTTAGACCCAGATCCATCTCTGCCAAAATTTTTGTGACCATAAATGAGTGGATCTGAACCAGATCCATCCCCATCATACCGAGATGATGAGCCTCTAGGGGACCAGCACCACCATCACAATAAGCAGACTACTATTGCCGAAACGAGAAAGAAGCTCCCGAGGATCAGGAGTTTTCCCCTCCATAGGGAGAGGGTTGTCAATTTTCATTAAAAGTGGCGAATCAGTGGGGATTTGGGCCCCTACCCTTTGGTGAGAATTGAGTCAGAGACGTCATCATGGGGCTCGGCAATGCTACCGCCAAAGCCCCATGCCATTCTTACAATTTGAGAGTGGTTGATGAACAGTGCAATGAATTTGAGAATGGGTTGATGAACATTGCTGATAAATTTTCTTACAAATTTGTTATGTCAAGGTGTCTTATACATTACACTCAAATAAATTACAGCACACTTTATGATGTGAACTCCCCACTAGCTATATGTAAAGAGTAGTCCCTGAATATGATGTCACACTTTTTTTTGCACTTTGCAGAAGGCTTCTTGTATAAGACAGTCATATACCTTGAAAGAATTTCCATTATGATATAAAATTATAAACTGCCTACTAGCTATATATGAAATGCAGTCTTTTGAATCAATATTGCGTGTCAAAGTGTTTTAGAGAAACACTTATCATGCAGTATGCCCACTTATGTAAAATAATTACAATACATTCTCTGATGTGAACTGAGTTCTCTTGAATCCTTGGCATGTCTTGAATGTTTCATAGGAAGATTTTTTATACATCACACTCAATTTGCTAAAAGAATTAAAATACAGTCTCGGGCATAATGTGGCAACTAGCTATATATTAAGAGTTTTGTCTTGAATTGATTGCAGGTCATAATGTTTTGAGAAAGGCTTCCCATGCAATAAACTCATTCGTCTAAAAGAAATTACAATATATTCTCTGATGTAAACTCTCCACAAACTATATATCTCTTGAATCAATAGAGTGTCATCATTTTTATTATACACCACACTCATTACCTGAAATAATTATAAGCTCTCTTCTGTAAACTCCATATTGGTCTAAGAAGGGTGAGGACCGTAAACTTTTCTTTAACCCGTCCCATACCCGGGTAAAGGGGGTGGGTTGTGTTAGGTAGGCAGCCAACATAAAACTCTCTCAAAACTTATCATGTTAGCTGCATATGGGCTATATGTAAAGAGTAGTTCCTTGACTCAGCACAGTGTCATGATTTTTATATGAGAAGGCTTCTCAGAGAGTACACTTGCGGACCTAAAAGAATTGCTGTACATGAACTGCCTACTAGCTTTTTATAAAGAGTAGTCTCTCAGATTGATAGCTTTTTATTCCTACCTGATCTTTTTGGTTTTTAAATAGGGCTCACTTGCATCAGTAGCATGTTGTTCCCACCTAATCCTGACTGTTCTTACAGGCTCAAGAACTTTCTGAGGAAATTGATCGGCATGGAACCCAGATGTTAGAAAAGGAGCAACTGCATGAAGCATTGATGCAGTCTCAAAGGACTGTCTATGAAGGGACTATCACTGAGCTCCGAGAGTGGATTACGCAAATGCAGTTTGCACATGAGGAGCTTCTTCAATCTAAGGAGACCAAGTTAATTGCGGAGATTGATGATCTTAATTGTCGCCTCACAGAAATGAAAAAGACCACGGTCCAAATTCTCACCTTTATCTTAGTGGTGGATAAAAGTACTTACCGTATATAGCATGTACTATACACAAGGGCCATCCACCATCCAGCTTGTTGACCGATCTGTGGAAGTGAACCACAGTTCCATGTAGTGAAGAATTTTGGAGTGTGAAGTTCAAGAGGTGTTCATCTCCACCTTCCAACTTCCATAATGGATGGTTGATGGCCCTTTATGTGGGATATGACAAACATAAACTTGGTTAAAGTATACAATATGCTTATCCTTTCCTCTGTTTGTATTCTTGTTCCTGCGTTCTTTGCTCTTGTTAACTAATTCTCTTTAGCAATGTTCAAGAAGGCGGCCATGGGTCCTAGCTGCCTAGGTGGGCGCACAGACACCTGGGCAGACTACATTTGGGTTTTGTTTTTGGGAGGTGGGGTGGGGGGCTGGTGGTGTTGGGAGTAGATCCTTGCTCAGATTGTTGGACCCTCCCCTTTTATCGTATATAGAATTCCATTTTTATTTTGTTTAGTAAGATTAATTTTTTGTATATAATTTATTTTTCAGAAGTCAATTCTATATGTCAAACATGAACATACATGAATTTAAACTATAAATATAATAGTTAAAACTTAAAAGAAACTTTAAAAGATAAACGCATTTCTTGATGTCCATTAAATCTTGCAAGTCACAAATCTCTCTCGTGTAAGTTCCCACATTTTCCCTTCAACCTCTCTCCTCGTTCTTTCTCTCTCTCCCCTCTCTCCTCTCTCTAGTGTCAGCATGGTTCACATTGAACCCTCCCACGCAACAATGGGGAGCCCCAATTACTCAATACAAGTTAATAACCAATATTCCTTTAACTTGACTGAAATCTGTGTGACCGTGTATCATAGATGTTGCAAAGAGTTTGTTGAAATTTGGATGGGATAAAAATTGGGATTGGGATAAAAGCGTGGTAATTTAGGCTGAGAAGAAACATAAAAATTGCAGTGAGTTTAGCATAAAAACCACCAAGCCAGTTTTGGGTTAGGATGATTACACACTGTCAATTTCTGGTCGATGTTTGAGAACGCAAGGTGATCAATGGCTTGGTTTGCACATGATGTTTTCAGATCAGTAAGTTTTTGCAATGGCTAAGGTAGAGAGGTGTTTAAGAAAGAGGAAGGAAGGCAAGTAATTTTAGAGAGATATGTAGAACCATGGGGTTGTAGATCAGTGGTGGCATCGTGGTCTCTCTCTCTCTTCTCCCGCTTTTCATTGTTAGAGAGAGAGTGCATGTTCTTTTGGTGTGACTGGTGTAAGAGCGAGTATTGTGATGACAAGCCATTTATGGTTTTTTTTTTATAGTCTATTTATATTTTTTCTGGTTTTTTTATATAATTTTATCAATTTATATCTATGCCTCCAAATATTTGATTCATGGTTCTCCTCTTTTCTTCATGAAAGTTTCCTTGTATGTTGTTTGAGACAATGATACGAGTGACAACCTTGGGTGCTCGATTCCTTCCTGCTCTTCCATCACTCTACCTTTCCTCCCCTACCTTTCTCTCTCTCCCTCCTGACATTCTTTCGGACCTTTCTACTTCTCCTCTTAACTATTGAGGTAACATGGCTGCCTCGCCAATCAAACCAACCAAATTAAGTGCAGGTTAACGGTGGCGTATTTGGGGCTGTAAGTACTTGGACCATGTTCACTCCCTGCACTCTTCTCCTTCTCTGTAATGCTTTTGTAGATAAGACGGTACTAGATAAAGGTGCAATGTGCATACGCACGCACAAACACACAAACAGAGAGAGAGAGAGAGAGAAGAGAGAGAGAGAGAGAGAGAGAGTTTAAGGAAATGGAAAGACTTAGAGGTCATCTAGGGTTTTGTGGCCTTTAAAGGCTTAGGGAGCTTGTAAAAACTATCTGTATAGTGAAATATGCACTTTAATGGGAGTGTGTGTGTTGACTAAAGGTTGTGCGGTTATGTCCAAAGCCCTTGGCCTTGGGCATGTTTCATTACCGAGAAGGGTTTGCAGGGGGTCATCCCTTGTTGAGGTCGGAGAGTACTGTGTGTTCTCTTGTGTGCAGTTGTTGGCCTATGAGAACGAGGGCCAAATCCCCAAATCCCTAACTAACTTCTACACGACATGTACACATGACAACTGCATGGGAAGCAGCCCTTTCTAGATGGACACGTGTACATGTGCATTGAGAGAGCTCTTTTTGCACTGTGGTGACAAGTGCTTGATTTGCTCTTAAATGGGGGAAACTGAAATCCATATTCGAGGATCATGATCCCATTGTTTATTATCCAATTTTGACAAGCCAATCATGAGCCCTTGCAAAGAGACTGTAGGTCATGGGACTTTGTTCGTTTGGATAAGAGAACAGCAGTGGATCAGGGTTTTTGGGGTGAGTGGAATGTCTTTATTGTCGCTTATTTTGACCCATTGGTACCAGTCCACTTATAGTATAATATTATTTTGGTATTATAAAAGTTTCTTTGATTTTCAACCATTCCTTCAGAATTTTAAAAAATTATTTCTGTTGTAATATTTATAAAAGGGTATTTCTAAAATTTCATAACTTGAAAAAAACACATGTGGGACCCAAGGATCTAGCCCCACATGTGCCACCCCATGCACCCTAGGGGCCACGCCCTATTTTTTGTAAAGCATAATTGACCACACCACTTTTATTTAAGCAAAAGGGGGGCCACACTACTATAAAACTTTTAATATTTTACGTTGTTTAAAATATTTAAACGGTGGGAATGCCACCTTTTAAGGAAAAAGGCGGCACACCACCTTCTTAGGAAGAAAGGGGCACACAGTTGGAATTATATCCTTTTTAGGCTTTAAATTCCTTCATTCTCAATGGCTCTAGACTTAAGTGGGAGTATAAGAGCTGCATGACTCTAGGATCTTGGCGCACTGGGACCAAGAGTTATGGAACCCCGATTCGGTCATGAGGTGTTTTGGTGTATGGAAGGTACCGAGAGGGTTGAGGGTTACCTTTTAATTTGGGTCGGTTCATATGATATTGTCATGACCCTGCTCCCTGCTGTCCCCACCGAACCCTAGAGGCCGTAGAGAGCCCGGGAGTGGCCCTCTAGGGTTCGGTGGAGATGGCAAGAAGCGTTAACCCACATAATTACTTGTCATGACCCTGCTCCTTGCCGTCCCCACTGGATTCTAGAGGGCCAGGTTCGGGTCTGGCGGAGGACCATAGGGCGTGGGGCCACAACCACAGGTTGAGGGTTGGAGTGCGCTCAACACCTTGAAATGGAAGGAGTTTTCGGTATCCATAAAAGAAATGAAAAATGAAACACAATATACATAACCATAGTCTGCTGGACAAACAAGTCTCAAAATACATACATCAGTTCAAAATAATACATATAGGTCCAAGGCACAAAAGGCCCAACATCAAAACATATTACGAAATCAAAATGGACAATATGGCCAGACTGCTAACTAAAATATTCCCTACAAAATAGAGTTTCAACAGAAGGGGGGTAAGGGACCCCCAAACACGACCACCAAGACACGCCTCTCCAATCACGGTTGGCTATCACTCTACATGAAGGAAAAATTAACAAAGTGAGCTGTAAAGCATAGTATATAATACCTAGGTGCCATCTTTCATGCTTACAAATATTCTGTCTTGACAATAATCGAAGTTTTATGCAAGTCTTACAAACATGGAATCATGTATCAAATTCATATTTGAACAAACGTGTCATGCATGATTTATTTCATGGTGGAGTAATAACTAATCAGATATGATTATAATAAGAAGTCTATCAAATAATTCAAGCATGAACATCATAACAGATCAAAACATTTAGGCATGCATGTAACAAGCATAATCAAGATTAAGAGATACCAACTAACTCCTGAAGTAGAAGCCCCACGCATCGGGCCAATCAAATCTTGATGCGTAGAACTTGTACTATCACAATCAGGAGAGAAGCACCACCAAAGGATAAATCCGTTGTGTGGTGCCTCACACATACACACAACTGCATTGCAATATGGTTCAGAAATTGATAGGCACTGGCCTTGCAAGACATGACCCTCTCATGTGCCTTTCTGACAAGAGGGCACTGCACTACCAAAAGGGTCCGAATGAGTAGTGTCTCACATAAGTTTTCGGGGAGAGACAACCCAAACACACACACTCTTAACTCTCATCCTATCATAGAGAGCAGGAAAACTCACAACTGCTTACACAAATATCTCATCAAATCATAACAGAAGTATGTCTCCATGCGCACATATCTTATCAGAAGCATGTTACCATGCATGGATCATATAACAGAAGCATGTCTCTATGCACACATATCTTATCGAAAGCATGTTACCATGCATAGATCATATAATAGAAGCGTGTCTCCATGCACATATATCTTATCGAAAGCATGTTACCATGTATAGATCATATAATAGAAGCATGTCTCTATGCACATGTATCTTATCAAAAGCATATTACCATGTATAAATCATATAACAGAAGCATGTCTCCATGCACACATATCTTATCAAAAGCATGTTACCATGCATAGATCATATGATAGTAGCATGTCTCCAGGCACACAAATCTTCGGTCGGGGCCTGATTTCCATTTGGTCCTTGCGCGAGGCGGAAAGTGCACGTGGCGAGGAAATCCTCTCTCAAACAACCGCAGAGGGTCTGAGCGCGTTGCACGTTTGCCGGTGCGCATACGCGAGCTCTCCTAAGTGTGGATTGGAACTAGCAACGAGAGAGATTTTACGACGGGGATACGTTCGGACGCTTACCTCACCGATTGGGGTTCCGAGGACACCCGGGCAGTTCGCCCTCTTAGAACAATAAAGAAGGCCTCCGGCTCTCTGTCAGCGCGATTTGGACACAGACTCTCTTCAGACCTTCAATAACTCGCTTCTCTCTCTCTCGTGCTTGCAATTGCGATGTGGGTTCGATTATCCTCCTCCATGATGATTCTCTCAAGGAGTTTGACTAACAAAAGGGTAGAGTGCGGAGGAAGGGCG